TTGCTTCGGTTTTGTTGTGTGAGGTTTTTCTGAAGAAACAGCCACATTTTGAAAGAACATTTTCCAGAAAGGATTTTCTTTTACTTTTGTTGGGGTAGAGCAGAAGTGGGAAGGGTGAGCAAGAGGGCAGAGAAGAAATCAGGAACCTCCCTTCATGCTATTTTCAGAGGAATTAAAATCCTTTAGTCTCTAAATGCTTTTCTTTTTAAATCTGTGGAAGTGGGAAGGAGACGGTGCTATACGTCCCATCACGAGTCTGTGGTCATTTCACTGGGAGGCAGCCCCTGGTGACATGCCGTCCAAACCGTATTGGCCGGGCTGTCTCTGGCACTCTTGAGAAGGTTGGGCTTCTCAAGATTTGAAGCACCTTGAATGACATCATTAAATACTTCATTATATTTTTCTTAAGGGCCATAAAACTCCAAAGAAATATCCACTGCAAGAGAAATGGTAGCAAAATAATTCTTCCATCCAAACTAGTCCACAAATGGCAAATCACTGAGGTGGCAAGTATTATGTACTCTACTATTTTCCGGAAGGAGAAGGCATCTGAAATGCAGGGATAGCTTTATTTATTGCCACAGTGGTGTCAGAGGCAAAGCCAGGATTACATATGCATTTCATTTTCTGGTGCAAAGGACATTTTAATTAATTAAAATGTCAAAACCTCCAGTAGGAGGACTGATTTTGCAGGCTGAATTTTCTTGGCCGACTTTTGGGGTAAGCTAGGTAGGAGTCATAACTGCAGTGAGGCAGTGTAGCTGGGACGTGTCCCATGTCCCTCAGCTGTGTTAGGTGGAAGTAGGGCTATGATGCCAGCCCTAGTGGATGAGGTACACAGGTGACCCTTGCGCCCTCTGCTCATAGCAAACATCCTTTTCTAATCTGGAAGGCAGATTAGAAAAGTGCCCCAACATGCCCCAAGATAGAATAATATGATCCCTGCTCTGACGAAAATGGTTTCTGAGGACAGTATACACCTTCATCATCAGCTTATGCTCTTTAATTTATTAACACTATTGAGTGAGTATCTGATACAACATAAACTTCACTGGGCTTAGTAAAAAGTTAAAATCAGCGTGTTCCAAAGAGTGTAATACGCACCACCCGAAGGATGGATATATTTGAAACTCAGACTTAGGGTGGGGGGGCAAGGACAACATACGTAACCTAAACATTTGTACCCCCGTAATATGCTGAAATTAAAAAAAAAATCAGTGTGTTCACATCTTATAAAAATTTATGCAAATTTTTAAGTGGATATTTTCAAAAGTCTAATTTTATGCACAGAATTCAAAATAATGCAAATCATCCCAAATTTTAGAAATCTGTCAAGAGTCACATAATTTCCAAGTTGGCAGGCCAAGCGCGTGTTAGCATCTGACGTGGTTGCCACACTTGAGCACCGGTTTCCCTGGGAAGCAGATGTCCACTCTGCATGGGCAGGATTCCTTGCTCATTTCCTTCCACTAGGACTTCTGCAAATGACTTCAGTGACCACTGCACTGTCAGTCCAGGACACCTGGGTGGGAAATCTGAACAGGGCCCTGAAGATCATGAATCTCAGTCTGGATTTCAGCTTTGGTAGGTTTTAGGCACATCTAGCCACACTGGCTTTGGAAATTTTAAATGTCCCCACATTCGCTATTGTTACAACTTAAAATACCTTTGTATCTTGTCTCAGTCATGTAATATCTGACATGTATTGAACAGTTCTTACGTACCAGGAGGTGTCCTAATCACAACTCAATGAGGTGTGAGTACTAGTATTCAATATTACCCCAGCATAGAGATGAAAAACCTTGATGCACAGAAGTTAAATATCTCATCCCAATCAGTCAGCTGCTATGTGGGGGTCCCATGCCACAGTGCCTCTGACGCAAGCTCATCCAAGCATTTTTTCAGCTAGACCTGAATATCCCACCCCAAAATTATCAGCTGTGGAAGAAACTACACCTGGTAAAGGGTACAGAGAAGGCAAAACAGCCACATGAAACACTCCCCAGAGTGCATTCCTTCTCTGTTGTTCCTATTGGAAAATCAGTCTTGCATTGTGTTCATTTAGAATTATGAAACTTCCCTTTACAAAACATCGATCCTGACCTCAAGAAGTTTGTAGATCGAGTTTAGCGTCGTCCTGCCACTGAGCTCTTTACACACGTTCTCCTTCTCCCCTGCACCAGCCTGCACAGCAGACATAGTCGGTCCCAGGCTGTGTCTCAGGGTTACTAAAAACTTTCTACTCAGGACTCCCTCCCTAACGGAACACATGCCTTTTTGAGTTGTAAAATACTCATCTTTCAAAGTTTCCGTCTCATGATGTACAGTTGATACAATAAAACTGATAACAGTAAAGAAAAATGTTATCTGTATTCAGATAACTGTTTCTAGCAAGCCTTCCCCAGAACTTGAGATTGCAGGTAAACAGACATGAGCCCGTATACCCAGTGGAAACTCTGAACCCCAGGTAGGGGATCTACAGCCCAGCAAGTATGAATAGTTGCAGCTCTTTCCCCACCTCCCATGGGAGGACTCCCTTTAGCATAGAGAGCACATTCCATACAGCTCTCACGGGCTCCCTAATTAAGTTGTGGTCAGGCTTCAAGAAATCTAGATGTCACTTGCCCTCAAACAAATAGTTTGATTTAATAGGGACCCAGTTAACCATATTCTAAAGCCACAGACAACATAAAACCAGCCTGAGTTCAAACGCGCAACATAAAGCTAGAGCTCCATTGCTTTCGTTGTGACCTAAAGACCATCGAAAGCCCCATCTGCCATCTTCCAGACTCAGAACCATCCCGGACGGTGATAAGCAGTGGCTGGGCGAATCCCAGGACTGTGCGGGTGCTGGCAGCCACACATTAGGTGTCTCCCCAAGAGTATTCCCCAGCGCCTAAGGCAGAAAATTTACTTCCAGAATTATTGTGTGGAAAATTTTCTTGGTTAGGAGCCACAAGTTTATTTTTACATTTTTAATACCTCCAGCCTTTATTTGTGAATCACAAGAATCTGATCACCATCGCCTGCCATCTTTGTACTTCCAAACTGTAAGATTCATTAATTAGGTCTTTTCAGAGTCCTATATATTTTGAAAACTACTTGATTAATTTACTCCGGGCATGAGTTTGAGATACATGTATGTTGGGTGTTTTTAAGTTCATGCTATTTCAGCAAAACAATCGATGGAGTGACGCAGTAATTCTTTTCCAGAATAAAGCTAGGCTTTGGCTCAGGTCTTAATCCCTAAGAGTACATGGCTTTAACTCTTGGTTTCCCAGGAAAGCCCTCGGTTTTTTCTGCATCTCTAACTGCAGACTGGCCCTGTGACGCTTCCACCCTGGGTTTCAAGGGCTTATTTTGTACATGCTCCTTGTCCAACCTGACGACTTCATTAAAGAGCATTCACATTTGTCAACATACTGGCTTTTCAAAGACGATGTGAAGTTTCCTTTCAGAACCTGAAGCCTTATATACCGTTGGCTGAACTACACAGAGAGAGATAACCTATTTACATACTAAAAAGGTCAGTGTTGGACAGTCAGCAGTTAGAGATGAATTTGCTGCTGCTTGCAACTGGAGCGTAAGAATTGGGGAGAAGCTGGCAATTTTGCTGTCTCTTTATCTGTGTAGACAGCAAGCATTGGTAAATATGAAGATGTCTGTTCCGATCCACCAGAGTGGTGTTGCAGAGAAGCCGGGTGATGGACAAGCTCACTCATAGTTTAGAACCACAGGTATGTGGCTACATGATGACCAAGGTCAGCCTCACCTACCTAAAACCGTAGTTAATCTGAGGTGGAAATATTTGCATAATACCTTTTCAGACTCTGTTAGTAAAATACAAATCCTCATAAATTATGTGGCTACTGCTTACTTAACCTTCCATTTGCATTACAAAAGGTAGACTTAGGGGGCTTAAAACATTTTCTTTTGTGATCTTTTCGAAATCTCTTTAAATGTTAGCAGTTTTATTTTGCTAACATGTGTTGAAAGTATCTTAAAAGGTGTTATTATAAGGGCATTGTTTTTCTCTGAAATCTCTATAATGTTTTTGCTCTTCATCCATTTGTAGATTTAAAGCAAAATAATTAGGGAGTTGAGATCATGCCTCCATTTTAAATGTCGGGATATAACATAAGAGTAAAGTCACACCTGAAGGTAGAAAACTAGCACAGAAGACTGGCTAAGTACAAGGCTGAAGTGCACTGAGATCCGAGTGAAGTCTGACTCCTTGGTTATAGCAGCCAGTCTTGAGCAAACAAACAGCCATTGTCCTCTGTGCCTTAAAACCACGGTACCTTGAGAGTTTCTGCTCAGAAAAGACGGCTCCCCATTTGAGACTGCCTATGTCAGGGAGGTCATGTCTCAGCCACGGCTGCTTTCCGGAAGTCCCTGGTGGCCACACGGTTTCACCCCAGGTGAGGTCCTGGTGCATTGCTGGGCGTCTGCAGCAGTAGCTGATGGCAACCATGTTCTCATGGGGACCCTGTGCTGCGTTACATGTTCCGTGTCACCCAGGGGATTTATGAAGCCAGATGTGGACCTGGGCCCATTCTGTCTTTAGAGATGTATGAGGCGGCTTCCAGGGAGAAATTGTTCTTTGTATGCATGCACATCCCAGATGGTTCAGTGTGCCAGTCTCCTTAACAGGCACATTCTGCACGATTCTTTGATTCCTGTGACTCCTGTTTTAAGGAGAGAGAAGCCAGTGGCACTGACAAGCTAGCCCTTCGCTGGCCATCATAGAGGTTATTTGAACTTGGTTGGCACCCAGCCACAGTCTTCTGAGCCAGGGTGGCATCTGTCTTATGACCACTGTCCTAAAACAGACCGGCGGCGTAGGCTGTGCCTGGGGACTCCTGGCGATGATCCTGTAGGACCAGGAGACACGGGCTCTGACTGTGCCGCACTTCACCTGCCCCGGCGGCGGCCTCTGTCATGCAGCGGTGGATGCTCGCTCGCCCCCAGCCTGAGCCTCACTCCCGCCTCTCTTGCAGAGTACTCGGCTGGGCAGACGCAGCAGGCGCTTCACCAGTCGGTCTTCATGTCAGCCGTGTCCGCCCGCCCTTTCCGGGACCTTCCCCTCGGCAGGGAGCAGCACTGCAAGCTGCTGCCAGGTGTGGCTGACATCCAGGCGAGCCAGGTGGCCCGGTGGACGGTGGATGAGGTGAGCGGGGCTGCAGGGGCCCTGGGCTGGGACCCGCCCTGCTGCTGAGATAGAGCAGCAGGTGCTGATCTACCTTGGCCTGCGGTGGAGGTTCTCTAAGGCCTGGGAGAGCGCTCTTTTCCTCTTAGGCTTTGCATCCACTATGTAAAGTTTAAATCCAAACTGGAGGGAGAAGCCAGACATGATTTTGAGGAAATGAGGAAAGCCCATCACCTGCCCAGCAGGTTTTGCACCTCCTCTCCCCAGCCGTATTCCAGCAATGGCCTGTGCCCCACGGCTGGCCATCCGCCCCAGGCTAACTTAAGCAGAGGGGCTTTAACCCTCCCATTCACATCACAGGTTTAATTTGGGGCAGCGCGAATGTGTAAGCATCTCAGGCCTGCGTCCGCACGGCGTCTTCACTGCGCCAGTTGCCCTGCAGTGCCCGGTGGGATCCCTGTGTCCTCACTGCAGAGCAGGTCCCAAGATGATCAGGTCAATCTTAGGTTTATTTATAAAGTATTAATATCTTTGGTCTCAACATTGTGTAAGAAGCTCTTCAGAGGGAAAAAGTTGCATCCAATTTTAATGTAAACATGCCTTCCAGTATTGGTTTTTAATAAGGATCAGTTAAGCCCCATTGCTTAGTATAAAGCTGTAGAAATTCTTCATATTTAAAGCAGTTTTCTTTTAAGGAATACACGTTTAACTGAAATTTCTTTTGCTAAAGGTATTGTTTTCACTAGTCAGTCCTTAGATAAATTGTTTTCTAAATGAAGGAAAAACTCTGGGTCACTGTGAGGACAAGATTAGAGCTAGAGCTGGAGTTAAATTAGTCACAAAATGTTCATAGAGCACTTGCTGCAATCAACTTAACTTAATCTTGGTTTAAGCCTCCCTTGCCAGCTTTGGGCCAAGGAACAGCAGGTGGGGCTGAAGCCTGGCAGAAATCAGAGGCGTGGAGCTGGCCCCGTCTGCCTGCCCTCCCCGCGGCACCTCCCATGGTCTGTGGGCAAATTCGCCTGCGCCCAGCCCGGCTGGAGCAGAGCAGACCACGCTGTTCCCCCGGCCTGTCCCGCCGCTCCTTCCCAAGGCCCACGTGGTCCTGGCAGTGGAGCGCTGACCTCACGTGCCGGGCGCGGCCGAGTGTCGGGGCAGCGACTAGAATGTGATCCTGCTCCCCTCACAGTACCCAGACTTCCCTCCTTTATGAATTTTCACACGTTTGCAGAGTGTGCCTCCGCCTCATGACCACGCGGCTGAGTTAAAAGCTATCGTGTCGCTTTTGCCCTTGAAAAACACTGCACAAAACGGGGTTCGACTGCAAACTGAATGGCAAGTCACTCGTTGTTCACTCCCAAGCCACTCATTGGAAGTGCCACGTGTTCTGAAGGAAGACCGAGAGCGGTCCTCTGCTCTCCTTGTCGCTGGGCTTCGGGCCCCTCATGCCATCACTGTCCTGCACAGAAGGATGTCACCGTGGATGGGCTGGAAGAGACAACGCTAAGGCCCTCTGCTGCCTGCGTGTGCAGAGTGATTGAGTCTGGATAATGAGGGGAGGTGGTGGAGAAGGGTGAATTCTGGGCGTGTCTCTGCCCAACTTAAAACCATCCCCCTGGCATCCACGGCATGCCCTGAAGACCTGCACGTGTAGTCCTGCCACTAGTCTGCAGAGCCTGCATGTTGTCCTCATGTTCACACGGTTCCACCACTGCCTGCAGTACCCTCTCCCACTCTGCCTGCTGCCACCACCTGCCCGTGGCCTATACTCACCTCCACCCCCTGCAGGAGGCTCCAGTCTGGGCCAGAGGTGACCTGTCCCAGCTCCTGCGCTCCCCTGCCTGACCCTCACTGGGCGAGGAGAGACCTCACGTCACTCCTTTGGTTTGGCTCTTGAGAACCTCTCACTATACCTGGCACTTGTTAGACACCCAGTAAATGTTCATTGAATGAATGTTGAATGACAAGGGAATCAATTCTGAGCTGAATTTTGAAACAAAGTGGAACGTGTCTAAGCAGAGAAGAGGCATCATTCCAGTTGAAAGGAAGCAGAGGAAGGTGCATGGAAGTGAGTATGACAGACCCCAGGATGGCAGATACACAGTGTGCCCTTTGCTGGCATTGATAGCGATAATGAACTTATTGATATAATGATAGGCAAAAACTCTTATTTTGCCCATCTTACAGATGAGGAAATTGAGGTGCCCAGAGACTAACTGACTCACTGAAGGCTTCACAGCCTGGAGCTGACTTCGTGCCCACTGTGCTCACTGTGGACCTGGGCACAGAGGAAGGTGACCTGGGGGAGAGAAGATGGGCCCGGTGTGAACAGCCCGAGAGGTCAGGGGAGCATGTGCGTGGCATGCGGTCAGCCAGACAGAGCCATTGTAGGTCGTTATGCAGAAGGCCGCTTTGTGAAGATGGAGTCGCAGGGAGGTGAGAATGGCAGAGATCTGCGAAGGAGTGGAGTGAGAAGCCGCCGAGGAGAGGCTGATGCCCAGGGAGTGGCGCGTGCCGCCGGTGTGGAACCATCCAGGGCCGGCCCGGGTGCTGCCGTGAGAAGAACCTGGACTCCGCAACCACTTTAAAGTCTAAAGCAATGGCACAGGGAAGTAGGTTAGGTGTAGAAGACAAAAACGTGAAATGAGCCAAATGTGATTCCATTTATAGTCTCGACACTGCACAGTTTAGTATGTAATTCGGGTAATGATGAGTGAGAGCGGCAAGGTCACCTGAAAGGATGGGAGAGTAGCGACGCCATCAGGAGTGAACGCTGGGGGAAGGATCCAGCTGGGGGCAGGCAGATGCCATGGTGACTTCGTTACTGGACATGCAGAGTTAGCGGACCCTGAGAATCGCAGCAGCGGATCTAGAGAGGTCCCAGTGGAGAGAAACGCAAGACAGGTGCCCTTGAAGGGCAGGCAGAGGGCGCCGGGGGGGCGTTCCCCCAGGGTGACAGTGCCCAGAGACAGCCGCCGAGGACTGGGGTCGGGTCGGCAGAGCGCCCGTCAGAAAGGGCGGGGAAAGGACTGTAAAGGGGCAAGCTCGGGAGGAGCTGGGGGGGGGGGTCCCTGCGAGGCAAGTGTCAAGAGGAGCTGCATCATGCCTGTGCCATGCAGCCGGGCAGACCTCAGCGTCAGGTCAGAGGCTCCTGCTGGGGCCGTGGTGTTGGGCTTTAGATTTGGGAAAGAATGTGTACAATATGTGCACTTTCTAATAGAGGAGCTCTCATTCCCTTGTCAGGAGACCATCGTGCAGAAAGAACAGGAGCCACTGTTAGGGACATTGAGCAGTGAGCAGCAAATGGGGGTGGGGAGCTCTATCTGACAAGTTGCAAGTCTGGCATTTAACAAAAGCAAAAGCAAGAGATTGGAAGCCCATTCAAGGGAAGTAGCTGATCCAAGTGAAAGTCCCATTAGGATGGGGAAGGTCTCCAAAGGAAGACTCAGAGAGGAAGACTGTTAGGAAGATCCCAGTTCCTAAGCTCTCTGTTGTGGGTACATGTGGAGTCTCAGCCTTTTGTTGCTAGAAGAGGCCTTAGAGCTTTTACAGATTAAAAAAACCAGCTGTCAGAGAGGCTAAGTGCCTTGCATAAAGTGCTCCCGCTCTCGGGGCTTCGTGATGCTTCCGTAACCATGACTTCCATCAGGGATGCGTTCCAGAGAGAACAGCGTTCATTATTCCCTAATGCTGAATACGTCTTAGTCCGGACATCTCCCTACCTCGATGCCTTTGAGGACAAGGACCACATCCTAAATGTCTTCTGTACCCGCATGCACTACAGCACATATCCCAGCACCAAAGTAGGTTCTTAAGAATAATCTTTGATGGGCTGAAAATGCAGGCTTTGTGATCGTTCCATTTGTATCTTTGAAATAAGGGCGCTCTCCAAAGGGAGTCCACTTAGGAGGCACCCAGCGAGTACAGCCGACAGCAGAGTGTGAGGCTGTTTGCAGCCGCCCCAGCGAAAATGGGGAGCAGGAGAGTGATGATTGGAACAGGCAGTTCCTGGCTGAGTGGGATCGGTGGGGGCGGGGTGCCTTTGTGCTTACTTAGCCCTGGCTGCGTTGCAGAGGAACCCCTGCGGCCAGGGGCAGGGCTGAAATGCTGAAATGCACTGGGGCATCCTTGTGTTGAGTGCCATTCAGCGAGACTTAGCATGGGGTGTCTGTGGCAGAAAAGGTAGCGAAAGAACATTCCCTTTGTCGGCCTCTCTGGCCTGGGAGGAAGACCTCTGCTCTGCATTACGCTACCTGTGAAGAGAAGCCAGCACAGGGCCTTTGTGACACTCCCCAGAGCTGGGAGCTGCTTTTAGCTCCTTTGTTCCTGTGGCTGTTTCCACTAGAGCAGTGTTTTTCAAAGCGCAGATAGGCCGTGAGGTCAACTAGTGGTTATGAAGTGAAGGCAGGAATAGGTGAGAGTCCACAGCATGTCACAAAGGTTATTGCTTTGTGACACTTGGCTTAGAGGTGTGTGTGGGTGTGTGCACACACTAAGTCACAGGCAGCATAAAGTGTCTTTCTTACTCTGGGTTGTGAAAATACCATGTACAAGTGTATAATAAGCTTTTAAGAGTAGGGACTAAAATATTTTTATTTCTTTTTACGCCTTTATAGCAAAGCATCTTGTGCAGGGTAGGTGTTTGACAAACGTTTGACTGAGTGAGTGAGTGAATGGTCAGGTAGACTTACGTGCTCTGTTCCTGCTGGATGGGGGTCCAGGCACATGTGGCGGGCAGGGTGTGATACATCGTCCTGTCCGCACATTTGCCACCACGGGTGTACCTCAGTTATGCTTGGTGCCCATATGAGTACTTTTATTTCTTATATTCAAAAATGCTTCTTAAAACACCACATATAAATTGCCCTCGCCTCCACCAAGTGCTCCCTAAATGTTCATTAACTTTAAAAGATGGCAGTCACTGTAAAAGTAGTCTTTACACAGGAGGGAGTGTTTTGAAAAATTCAGGGTACTGCCAGCTAGGCCTAGCGGCCTTATACAATTGGGCCTTTTGTAAAAGGGCAAATAAACTCTGCTGTTAAAAAACGAGACCGGGCTGGAAACATGGTCCCTAGCGGACTGTTAGCTGGTACAGTGAGGCACACATCTACTGGCTCAGCAAGATGGGGCCACCGCCATTTGGAGAGATTTAAGGCAGCACAGCCCGTGGAAGAACATGAGCCTGCTGGGCCCAGGGAGGATGCCAGGAAAAGTAGGTCGTGGGGGAAGCGAGTCCGGTGAAGGGATGGGCTCATCTGCGAGCCGGGTGGTGTCATCCTTCTTAGTCTTCCCAAACTGCTGTCTCATACCTAGAATTAACTTACTCAGTGTCCTTCCAAAGCAAAGCAGGGATTTTAGCTGCAGGACACCGAGCTCCTGAGGATGCGGAGAAGGCCTGCGTGTCACAGCACCACGTGGGGCGCTTCCCAGAGCCAAGGCCAAGGGGAAGCACCCGTGTGGCAGCCCCCAGGCCACTTGGCTTCTCTGGGCCAAGGCCAAGGCCTGTGCCAGCTGCTGGGCTCCAGCAGGGTGATGGTTACCTTTGAAAAAGCATCCTCCTCCCACCGCTATTGGTTCTGTGGGTGGAGGACAGATGGATGATCCTTTTCTCTTCCCGTGAGTTCGCTCCCAGCGGAACAGCTGTCCGCATTTTATTAATACTGTGGGCTTAAAGGGAAAGAGAAGTGTTCATCTTTTAAGGCGAGAACGAGAGAAGCTTTTTGATATTATTCTAGGGTATATTAAAGCTCACCTACTTTACATTTAGAAAATTCGTAGCAAAGCTTTCTATTAAAGCTCAAAATATAATTTATTCTTAGGGGAAATAAATACCAACTAATACTGAATTGAGGCCTGTGGATATTTTTTAATTCTCGGCCAGAAAAGTCTGCCTCAGTAGATTTCGTGGAACTTATTGTTTACTTTGGAAAAAGAAAGATAGACTGAGTTGAATGGGAATTGCTTTCCAAAGTGGCAGAATTTCAGGAGCGATAGAGCAGAGGACATGCAGCCGCCCCGTCCGAGGAGAGCGGGGACACGGAGGCTGGAGGTGCGTGTGCAGCTGCTCTGGCTGGCGGGCGCCACCGTACTCGCAGCAGCCCTGGCCTGTTCTGTTGACGCTTTGGTTTAACGCATTATTTATTCCCATTAAAAAATCCAATTTACCTTTGACATGGACAATGATTTCTTGTCTAACAATACTGAGGAGGGCGAACATGGTCTTTTTTTCATTTGTTTGCCCAGAAAAGGACAGTTTAACATATGCAAACCATCAGAGCAACTGGCAACACTGTTGCTGTGAACAGACATTCTTAGAGCAAGTGTCTAAGAGACGCTCTTTCCAGCTACCGCTTTGCTGTACCAGTGGGGAGACCACCGTCTCTACCACTGACGTGGTTTCCCCGCCGCACCTGGTGATTAAGGTTGAACAAAACATGTGTCTTCAGCTAATTTCTGTTCCCACACTTCTATAATATTTGAATTTTTTTCCTCCTATGACATTCAGCCCCTCTTCCTGTAAAAGCGTTGTCCCAGCAGAACCGGGGCCATTTTGCAACCTCAGAGGCATTTGGCAGCATCTGGACACGCTTTTGGTTGTCACAACTGGGATGAGGACACTGGGACTGGCGCTAGTCAGTGGAGGCCAGGGAGGCTGATAAATGCCCCATGATACACAGGGCAGCCCCCACAGCAAGGAATTACCCGGCCCAAAGTGTCAGCAGTGCTGAGGGTGAGAAACCCTGCTCTACAGCATCTTTCCTGGACTTCGCTTTAGTTCCTTTTGCTGCCACACACAGCCTGTCATCAGACCACCTCCTGCCTCAACTCCAAGCTCTGCACGGAGAGGAGCATCCAGGCCTGCAATGCTTCCAGCCAGACCCCGCCCACAGACACTGCCGGAGCGTCTCTCCAGCCTCCCCCAGTGCCGGGGTCCTCAGCCCCCAGTGCACACTGGAATCAGCTGAGGCACTCTAAAAATATATACCCAGCACTTGGACCCAGTCCAGCTTGATTAAGTTGTAATCTCTGTGACATGAGGCCTGGACTCCAGTCAGTTTAAAAGCTCTGCGGGGGATTCCAGTGTGTGGCCAGGGTGGAGAACGAGGGCACCGAGGCTCCCTGCACCCTGCGCTGCCCGGGAAACACAGACCTACACCTGGAGACCACACCGCCCTCCTCCCTTCCCACCACTCCTATCTGCTCCTCAGCTCCTGCCACTGGCTCCTGCCTGCTCGTGCCTGTCCTGTGCCCTCCTGCTCCTGGGCTTGCTCCTGGGATCCTCTATGCCTAGAAGCTCCTTTCTACCCAGCCACCCAAGATCACCACCAGTGGGGATGCTGCACATCCACCGTGACCATCTCAGGGACCCTCTGAGTTCCCTCCCTGAGGCCCACGGCCTTCCTCCTCTCTCAGAGATGCCAGCACATCCGAACAGGTACCACAGCGGGGATAAGCTTCCTGTCCTCGCCACTTCCCCTCAATGGATCCTTCCCCCACTAGTCAAACATCAACTCATGGGAAGTTCAGGCCCAGCCTGCTCACAAGGGCCACCCTCCCAGCACACAGCAAGAGTCCTCACACACAGCCAGGATTGGGACGTATGTGATCGAAGAGCAGCTTGGAGAGTGACGGAGCCAGCCCCCTCAGTGTCCTGGCCCGAGACACCCTGGAGGCCACACTGCAGCCCCATCAGTGCTGCCGTCGCCTGCCCCGGCTGCCCTGTCCCTGCAGCTCAATCAGAGGCATCCCGCAAATACCAAATCCATGCTCCATGCTTCCTGTTCACCTAGGAAAAGAAAACCATGTTACCCCAGCAAGCGGACTTGGCATCCTTTGCCTGTGAACTGCCAGGGCACCGGGTTCTCCTGGGAACCGGCTTGTGACGCCCAGAGCCCAGGCCAGCAGGAGCGTGCACCATCTCAGATGACCCTGGGGCTAGGAGGTGGCACTGCATAGCAGCACGATGACTGGTTCAGGAGGGTTGTATGCAATCCTTACCATTCCACCCTTGCGAAGGATGATTGTAAAATGACTCATGCTAAAATATACCTGCAGCACCAGTGGTGAATGAAGCAGACACCAACACGCTGATTGCCCCTAAACACAAGATATCCTGCACTCTTCACATTTGCGCAGACTAAATATAGCTGCGAGACCACAGGGGAGAGAGCTCAGGAGGGCACACAGGTGTCTGCCCCGCAAGTGCGCCCTATGGGTGTTGGCTGCTCTGTATGTAGCCCGGGATCAGGGAAGCCTGGTGCTCCGTGCTGCACCGTGGGGGCATGTCCTCTGACTTCTCCTGGAAGGTCGTGGAGGGAGAGAGCGCTCCCAGAGCTCTGTGGAGGTGGAACATGTCAACACAAGACCCTGAGCTCCCCTTGAGGACCTTCCATGAGACTGGGGAGAGGAGAAGGGCCTCTGCACACAAGAGGCAGAAAGTCAAAAAGAAAGAAACTGAAAGACAGTTCCCCTACAAACATCACTCCAAGATTGCACTTGCTGTTGAGTTCCAGTTGTCTGTCACCCACGCTGTGACAGTGCCAGACCTGGTCCGAAGCCACCAGAACACAGTTGTCATTTCTGTTGCTGGGAGTCTACACTGCGTCATGTTTGTTTAACCAGCTCCCCCAAAGTGTCTGTGGGGAGTACTCAGTGGCTTCCCGAGCTGATAGCCAGATCTTGGCCTGAGCTCTTTTTCATTAGAAGGAATTTGGGGCGTGTGCGGATGGAGAGGGAGGGAGAGGTTGAGGGTAGGAAGTTGCATTGAAGACACTGATTCTCCAGGACTCGAGGTTCGAAGATAGAAAACCTCAGTTCCAGCACCATCTCCACTACTTACTGGCTGTGTGCGGCCTTGGGCAAGCTATTAAGACTCTTTGGGCTTCAGCTTCATAGTTATTTCTGTGGGAATTCAGCTCGGTGTAGGTGCGTGGAGTTCCTGTGGCCTGCCACAACCTGGTGGGGTCCAGGGGACGCAGAGGGGAGCAAGAGGGGACCTTGCCTTGCCGTTGGGTCTGCCTGGAAGCGAGTGAGCAGATCCTCACTCATCAGGGTCACTGTAATGACTGTCCCTCAAGGCCAGCACCCGCCCTCACTGACCCCGCAGGGTAGTCAGGAGAATCAGAGACAGGAAGCTTCCAGAATGCCAGAGCTCCATGGATATGGAAGCTGTCATTGTCATCATCATAATCACAGCCCCACGTAGGTCAGCCTGGTAATAAGAGGACAGAGAAGGTGCTGGGCCTAGCTGATTTCTGAGCTGACAAATGCTAATGTGACTTGATAGCTATGATTTAAATCCCAGCTGCAGGAGGGATTTGAAGTCTATTTTACTCAAATGTTGCATTACTACAACTCCAAAATTATTTCAGGTGTGTGTTTTAATAATTTCACTTTGTGCTGTAGGTGGCTGAGTTTGTACAGTCTCTTCTGGGCTGTGACGAGCATGCTAAGTGCTTTAAGAAAGAGGTAAGAAACGTAAAAATCATATATATTTCTGTACTTCTAGACCCTGAAGTGATTTGTTTCCATTTACCAAAGTGTAAATAAGAGTAGTTTGGGGAGGCAGGAGAACGGGTCCAGCAGGACAGAGCCCAGCAGTGCGGTGGGGACGGGGAGGATCCTCTTATATTTAGCTGTGCTTTGTTGCCAAAGGCCATGGCGCTTGGCTGGTACAGCATGCCCAGTAAATACGCTATTTGGTGGAAGAGAACATGAACAAGATAATTAATAACTGTGGGTGTCATGAAGCCTCTGCATTGGTGGCTTTTAGCCACACTGAGACAAGGGAGGATTCCCCCCTTGAGACTGAACCGGGGAAGTAGAGGAGACTTGTCTACTCCAAAGTGAGGACAGGGCTGTCCCGGCTATCCCTGCTCTGTACCTGCTTCCAGAGTGACACAGAGAAGCCCCCAAATCCTTCTGCGGGGTTTCTGCTTCCCTGCTGCTCTTGGTTGGGAATGTACTGCTTAACACATTTTCTGGAATTAGTATCCATAGCCACAGGGCCCCAGGAGAGACTGGACCAGCTACAGAATAACGATGCAGACAGCAAAGCTAGCGATTGCCATGTGCCGGGCGCTGCGCTAGGCATCTGGCAGCCATTGTCCTTTGATCCTCACAATGACTGTGCAATGGCAGCTGGTTACCCATGAAGAGGCCACAGCTCAGGAAGGGTAGGCAGAGCAAGAAAAGGGCAGAATCGGGTTCCAGCCCATATCCATCCAAATCCAGAGCCTCAGTCGTTGCTCTAGAACTCTCCAGGAAAACTGCCCTCCTAGAGACTCAGGAAAGCAGCACAGGCCTCTCCCTCTGTTGGTTCGGAGCATGCATGGTTCAGGGGAAGTACTCGTGGAGTGTTGGGTCCTGGGCCTCTCCATACACAGCAGGTCAGATGCCACCAGCTTGGGCAGCATCCAGGGGAAGCATGAGCTTCGCCGGGTTCCACCTGAGCTCAGCGCTGCTTGGGCACGGTTGGCCCAGCCTCGCAATATAGTCCGTGCTCTACAGGTAGCGACAGCCAAGAGCCACGTTGACAGTGAGTCCCCATGTGGTGAGGGGAAGGGGTGGCTCTTTGCAGGTCCAAGTGCTCACACTCGGCTCTTACCAGCACTGTCCCCTCGGGCAGATCCCTGACCCTCTCCTATCCCTCCCCTCCGAAACACAGACTTGCATGAGGGGCCTTTCACGGTTAGGATTAGTGTGTTTCAAGTCCTCAGCCCAGTTCTGGTCCAGAGTAGGGGCTTAATAAAGGCAACAGTATGCAGCAGAGGGTCTCCTCTGGGGTCTGACAGCTTCATCTGAATCCCAACTCTGCCTCTTAGAAGCTGTGTGACCTTGGGCAAGTCAGTAAGCTTATAATTCCAGCTTTCTTCATCCCCCTTAATTAAGGGGTTGATGGGAGGATCAAACACAGATAATAGATCATTACAGCTCCATGAATGTTAGCTATTACTATCATCCCCACCATTACCGTATTCTTACGATAACTGGCTATTTGGCCAGCAAATTTTGCCTGCAAATGCTGGAGTTGAGCGCAGGTCAGGGTATGGAAGTAGGCCTTTTCTCTCTCCTCTGCCTTATGGAATGTGTTCTTTGTCTTGTGGGAAATGTGCTCCCTTCTCTAGATGGACGAGTGTTCATCAGACAAGATATCATAAATGCACGGGAAGCTTTCAAAAACGTTTTAAATGGTAAAACTTTAAAAATTCATCCCAGGGTCCGAGGATAATCCTATCAGTAGGACATTCACACCTGGGACTTGTATTATTAAGTTTTAAAAGGTTTGAGGCATGCTACCAAGTTCCCGGAATGGAGTTCCCGTAGAAAACCCTTCCTGTCTGTCTTCTTGGTGCTGGAGCCAGGAGTCACCTGAGCCAGGCTGTCTCAGGCAGGTGCAGGGCACTCCAGCATCCCCGGGCGTCAGGCACTGAGGTCACTGGGCCCCCGGAACCTGTGGAAAAACAGCCTGCACAGTGGCCGATTGCCATCATGTGCATCTCAGGAGAGGTGTCACATTTTAGACCACAGTATTTTTTTT